CATGTGGAAACTCCTTAACAACATTCTTCCTATTACAGATAATCTTCTTAGGCTTAATCTGGTTTTAAGACCTTCTATCTGTCCCATTTGTAGGGAGAATGATGACCAAACAGATCATTTATTCTTACAATGCAGAGTTGCTTATTCTGTTTGGGAGTACTTTATGGGCTTGTTTGGCATTACACTTCCATCTAACTGTTCTACAGTTAGACAAGTTCTGGTGGCTTGGTGGATGAGAGCTGGTAGTAAAAAACTTGAAGATGTTTTTAAACACAATCTCCCTGGTATTATATGTTGGAGCATTTGGAAAATTTATTCTAATTGTATCTGGGGCACTGTTGAAGGTATCATTTCACATACTTATATTATCAGGCAGATTAAATATCTCACGCAGCAATGGATGTATTCGCTGAAAACTCCCAGGATATCTTTGATTGAAGATTTTCTAATCGAGGAGAACTCGGTCCCCATAAATTTTGCACTCACAGGCAGGAAGATTAAAATTATCAGATGGAATAAACCTGTCAAAGGGATGAAATTGAACACAGATGCATCGTTTATACCTGGAAAAGCTATGGGCGGAGCAATCATGAGATCGAACAGTGGGAGCATGCTTTTTGGAATCCGATTTCCGGTGGAGGCTTCTTCCCCTTTGGAAGCAGAATTACGAGCAATTCTTTATGCGACAAGGTGGGCTGTTAAGCATGGTTTCAACGAGTTTCAGGTAGAATCAGACTCGACGCAGGCTATATCTTTCTTGTTAGGTGTAGAGACTCAAAAATGGATGAAGGAGATTCAGGAAACCCTACTAATTTTAGGAAACAGGAAGATTAGCTTCAGACATATTTGGCGTGAGAGTAACTGGACTGCACACTTTATTGCGGAAGGTGGGTCAGATCAGTTTAAAATTTTTGACAGCCCACATTCCTTACCCTTATCTGCTAAACGGGCCTTCTTTATGGACTTTTATGGACTGCCATCTATTAGATTTCTTTAAATGCTTTTCTTTTCTGTTTGTATTTTAATGGGTCAGGTCCAGCCCCCCATTATTTTTAATTTTTTCTGATTGTTTTTCGGGAAGGAATGCCTTCCCTGGAAAGGTTTTGGCCTAGTCCCCCTTTCCCTTGTACCCTCCTCATATAAATAAAACTCGGTAAATGTTTCCCGGCATTTACCCCACTGATTTTGGTGGTTTACCTTCCGGGATAAAAAAATATATATATATCAAGTTCATTCTTATATTTGGATCGTCGGAAATGAAGTGAAGATCGTGAAATATATATAAATACATGACTTAACTATACATTTGAGTAGTTTTTTTAAATAAGACTAACAAATTAAAATATATTAGTAAAACAAAAATCAATCATCCCCTTCCCCAACCAAATAAGGCCTGGAGTAGTAGGGGTTAGCCTTTTATTTCATAAGCCGCATCAAGTGCTACTTTTTCATACTCTGTATTTGCTATCAATATGTTCTAATTATAAGGCTTGGACCATGTTATCAGGCTTAGTTACTGGGCCTGATGTGACTCTTCTCTTCGCTTATGTCAGGCTGAAGAACTTGGACTTGGGCGAGAAGGTTAGTCTTTATGTAATTCTTTTAATATAAAGCATTTTTTCAGTGGCAAAATTATATCCCCCACGACATCAGTTTTTTGTTTTGTTTTATTTGAAATTGAGTCCACACTTATAAAATCCTTTGACGATTTGGTTTGTTCTTTTGCTGCCCGTTTACAGAGGGAAAAGTGGATCATGGTCAAGGTCGTTCTAAGGCAGGGGGCATGACAATAATTGGACAGTATGTGCATCTTTCATTCTTAAATATGCAATGAGAATTTTCTGTTTGGTCTTCAGGCGGAAATATTTCATATAAAGGTGTTCAATTTCCTTATCTGCCTGATATTGCTTTTACTCTGTCTCAAGTATTGTGATTGGTTCTGTCAAAAAAAAAGTATTGTGATTGACTGGTTGTCATTCTTGCTATAGGGGGAAACCCAAAAAAGGAAGAACAGTGCAGAGAGATATAAAGAAAGTCAGGGGTTCTAATGACTTGGATGTTGATGATGATGATGATCCGGACATGATGAGTTTGAGATGAGCTACTCTCTCTTTCGAAATTATGGCATTTTAACTTCTCTATAGCATGTGTTGTGCCATGTTAAGCATGCATGAACATCGATTGTTGGTGACATGTTTTAAACTTTGGCAATGTATGATATGTATCGTATCAGTGTGTCTATTCATTTCTTAGAATTGTCACATTTTAGTTGTGGAATGTCGTATCAGTATGTATCGATTGCTTTAACTTTTTTATGTAATACTTGTTGCATCACAACCGTCAATCTAGGAGTTTATATTGTGTGTAATGTGTCATGTGTGCACAGTGCCACAGTACTTCTAATGCACAATGATGCAATGAGCAATTTTGGATGCAAAATAGGAAAATATCCAAACAAATAAAGAAATAGCTGGTTGTAAATTTATTCCTTGGTGTAGGCCTTTAGGGTACATTTTGCCTTAATGATAAAAATTAAGAGCCCTTCTGGTAAATGATAAATTTGGCTTCAATGATTGAAAGATGCAAAGTTTGCTGAAAGTTGAAATTGTTTCTCAATTTCATTGTCGTAAAAAATTATGCCCTGCTACTGCACTTCTCAGTGGCGGATCTATAGTGGGGGTAGATCGTAGATGTCCCCTCTCAACCGCCCACCCAATCCGTGCATATACATGTATACGGAGTATGTTTTTGTATATATTCATTCACATATATGCGCTGAATGTATGTATATATACTTAAACTAGTAACCAAGCACTCTAGCCTAGCTGGTTGCGAGGTTACCGTGCCTAGTGGGAGGTCTCGAGTTCGAATCCCGCTAGGCACACAAGGGTTTGAAACTTAATGGAGTGAGTTTCAGCCCTGATTACTCCAGGTTCCCCTTAGCCCCCTCCCCTAGACCCCTGGAGAAAAAAAAGGAAAAAAAAAAACTTAAACTAGTATAGTACCTGTGCATACGCACGGGAAAGATCAGTTGGTGCATATACTTTTACTCATGATTTAATTAAATATTAAAATAAAAATAATTTTTTAGGATTCTACGTACATTTTCGAAAAATAATAGTAGTTCAATAAGCTAATACCATTAAATATAAGTGCATATAATATAATATAATATCCAATGATGAGTATATTAGGAAAAATTAATTAATACTACTAATTAGAATTTGCTACTTATTAATTTTCATGATTAGATTAATTTTAAATCAAATAATATTCTAAAAATTAAAAAAGTGAGTACAATAACTACGTGACATAAAGTTTAAGTGAATACAATAACTACTAAAATTAACGAATATTAGTTAAATAATAATTTATCATTCATTAGTAAATTAGTGCTAACATGTGTGAGAGAAAATTATCCTGCTCAATTCTTAACTGGCTTAGCTTGTTATGAAAAAAAGTTCTACTCAATTGTCAGTCGGATTATCTTATCATATATCTAAAAGCAATATGTATGACAAAGAAATTATACTCCTTAATTCTTATACTAAAAAAATTACATATATGATAATTCTCCCGCTCAATTGTTAGCAACTTTATCTTCTAATAACTAAAAGCACTACATATGAAAGAGAGAAAATTCTCACTTAATTATTAGCTAGCAGGCTTATCTTGTCATATCTAAAAAGACTACATATGAGAGAGAAAATTCCCCCGTTCAATTATCAGTCGGCTTATGTTATATCTAAAAGCACTACATGTGGAAGAGAAAATTTTCACTCTCAATGTTTAGCCGGATTATTATATATACAGTACTTAAGAAGAACTACCCGTGGGAATGGAAGTTATCTCACTTAATTGTTTTGAAGTTTATCTTGGCTTCTTCTGATATGCCTAAAAGTACTACATATAAGAGAGAAAATTATCCCGCTCAATTGTTTAGTCTTCTTATCTTATACTTAAAACTACATATGAGGAGGAAAGTTATTCCGTTAAACTGTTAGCAAGTTTATCTTCTAATACCTAAAAGCACTACATATTAGCAATAACATTCTCCCGCTCAATTGTTATCATAATTGCAAATTTGCCTGAAATTGATACCATACACTCCAGAGGAGGTAGACGTGACCGTGTGACTAAAAAGATGCCAACATCTCCGGAGAAGAATTAAGTTGTGGCACCATATTCGCTATGGGACGGAGCAAGTCGCCTCCCAGAGGTGTGCAACGGCAATCTCGACGGCAACAGTGGCGGCAGTCTCACTTAACTGCGGCGTTGGTCTCGACAGTGACGATCGTGCACAAAAGTTGCTGAAGTTGTCAGCAGTTTGGAGTTCAACAATACGCATCATCGAATGAGGCAGCTGGGGGGAAGGGTTTTAATTTTTTTATTTAACCTGTAATTTCATTAAGAGCAATTTTGTCTAATCAGTTGATGTATGATCATATAAAATATGAGTCTTATTTGTGCACTTCAACATTGATTTAGTCCTATTCAGGGAATTATCCCTTATTCAATAGTAAGAAGAGTCAGTGACATATCCAGAATTTCGTTTGGGGGGATCAAATATTCACTATGAAAATTAATATCATATGCACTTCACAAATACATATTTTACTTTTCATGTCGTCCAAAAATATTATTACACTTCATTTAAGAAAAACTTTTTATTGTTTGTGTAACTTCACATTAATAGTACTCCTTCAAAAAAGATTTGCGAAAAAGATTTGCGAAGTTAATTTTCTTAGTAAACACAGTTTCATTCTACTTACTACTTTAGCATATACGGAGTAATTTTTTTTATTACTCGTATATTGTAATCTAGATTTTTCAATTTTATAAAAATTTCATTTCAGGTTTCAAATATGTAACTTTTAACTACTAAAATTGATTTGATTATCCATAAAGATAATTTAATTTCATCATCACCCAACCTTATAAATCACAAATTGTTAACCAATTCGGGATGGAGGAAGTAAGAAATATTAATTATGTAATTTGCACATTCAGGAAAATTTTGTTAATAATCACTCATTTACATGCTAAATGAAGAAAAGATTGAGACTACACTCAAACAAAAGTATCCAAAATTAAGCAAAATTGGGACTAAGTGTTAACAGATAAACTGAAAAAAACAAAAAACAAAAAAAAATGGCACTTGCGTCCCAAGGCAACAAGGAGTTATTTCCCAAAGTGGAGTACTTTCTAATCTTATTTTCCAAAAGAGGGTATTTTTAAACTTATTTCTCAAACAAGGGTATTTTTGCACAGTCATCACGCCAGGTCAGCATCCAAGTTAAATTCCATTTCCACTTCATGTTCCCATCATATCAGAAATCCATGTCATCAACTCATCACTTATACGGCTATACTAAATCATACGGAGTATAAAAATATTACTCCATTTGTAGAACGCCTGCGGGAATGGAACCAACAACCACTCTTCTACCATTTCACTTTGTTCACCACTGCACCACAGCCATGCTTCGTTATGCATACATATTTACGTTTACTTATATAAGTTATATTCACGTTTAGTTAAAATAATAATACTAACAGAAATCCTAGTAATAATTATAATTATAATTATAATAATAAACTTTACCTCCGTCCCAATTAATAATAATAATAACATTCTTATTCTTATTATTATTATTATTATTATTATTATTATTATTATTATTATTATTATTATTATTATTATTATTATTATTATTATTATTATTATTATTATTATTATTATTATTATTATTACTATAGTTATATTCTTCCGTCCCAAATTGAATTGCAAATTTAATTTTTTCTAGATCAAACAGTTTCATTTTATTCATTTGATTATGACATAAATTCTTGATTATATTTTAATTTGAATTATACAAATTTATAGAAATTTTGTTAAGATCTGGGGTTCCATCCTAAAAGGTCAACCTGTTAGAAAGAGTAGCCCAGAGCTTAATATAACACTCGTTTCATTCAAACTTTTCCGGTGTGGAACATTTAACAAATTTTAATGTATTTTCTAAATATGTAAATTTTAATTATTAAAATTTGAATTATTTTTTTCTTTTTTTGGAAAAAAAATGAATTATTTATTAATAGATAGAAATGAACTTTAACATCCATTGATAATAATGTTAAGTTAGAAAAAAATTGGAACGGAGGTAGATTTTGCATTTTCATTTACTTATATTGAAGTTTAGTTCTATACACAATAATAACCGTAATAGCAATTGAAATGACAACTCGTTATTGTGGTGGAGTGGTTTGCAACATGGAAGGGAAATGATTGAGCCTGGGTTCGATTCCCACAAGCCTCAGTTTTGTTGTTATTTTTATACCTCGTACGACTTAGTATATGAGGTGATGTAGACTTCTGATGTGGCGGTTAAATGATGTGGAATTGAAATTTAATCTGGGAGTTGACATGGCACGATGACTAAGCACAAGTACCCTTGTTGGGGAAATAAGTTTACAAGTACTCTGTTTCGGGAAATAAGATTATAAAGTACCCCTCCTCGGGAAAAAACTCAGGCAACAAGTGTAACTCTTCCGTCATTCCACTAAACATCACAATTGGTTAACAAAGGATATCCATTTATCCATTTTATCCTTAATCAGTGGCGGATTTAAGTTTCAAACTTTGGGTGTTCATTTTTTGGTATAATTAAAGTTTGAAAGAACAATAAATAATTAAATTAAATTTTCACATGTATACTAATATGTTTTTCAATATTTTAGGTGTTCAATTGAACACTCTTGAAGTATAGTGGCTTCGCCACTGTCCTTAATGAATCAGTTTTGTTGTTATTTTTATACCTCGTACGACTTAGTATATGAGGTGATGTAGACTTCTGATGTGGCGGTTAAATGATGTGGAATTGAAATTTAATCTGGGTGTTGACATGGCACGATGACTAAGCACAAGTACCCTTGTTGGGGAAATAAGTTTACAAGTACTCTGTTTCGGGAAATAAGATTATAAAGTACCCCTCCTCGGGAAAAAACTCAGGCAACAAGTGTAACTCTTCCGTCATTCCACTAACATCACAATTGGTTAACAAAGGATATCCATTTATCCATTTTATCCTTAATCAGTGGCGGATTTGAGTTTCAAACTTTGGGTGTTCATTTTTTGGTATAATTAAAGTTTGAAAGAACAATAAATAATTAAATTAAATTTACACATGTATACTAATATGTTTTTCAATATTTTAGGTGTTCAATTGAACACTCTTGAAGTATAGTGGCTTCGCCACTGTCCTTAATGAATCCTATGTGTCTATGTGTCTTGCTCTCCTTAATTTACGCATTTCCTATAGCAATGCCACGTGGCCATTTAACTCAAAGTACCGAATTTCTCCAATGAAATAGAAGGGAGCAAGCCGTAGGAGATCACTTGGTGGGGCCCAATCTATAAAAAAAACCCAATTTTCTTTAAATTGTTTTTACTTTTTCAATTTTGTTCCAATTTTTACAAAAAATATATCAAAGTTCATACTCCCTCCGTCCCCGAAAGAAGTTCTCACTTTCCTTATTTGGATGTCCCTAATTTAAGTTCCCATTTCCTTAAATGGAAAGTTATCTACATCAAAACAGTGCCAAACAGTGCAAAACAGTGCCAAACAGTGTCGAAATAGTGTCAAAACAGTAAAATTTACCCCCTTGTAAGTTTACTTGCATAAAAGTGTGTGAAAGTCAAATGTGGAACTTCTTTCGGGGACGGAGGGAGTAATTTTTTGTGATCTTTCATATGAGATCAATATTGAATATATAAAAATGTAGTTTATGAGCTATTTCTTTTCTTATATATTATAAATGGATGACAACAAAATGGCATTTCTACATGCAAAAACATGAAATTTCCAGATTACAAATTATGGCATTTTTACATTTTAGACTCGAAAATGTGAAATAGGAGAAGAAAAATGAAAAAGTAATGTTGCAAATAAATTCAATCCAATGCCATAAAAATGCCACAATTTGTGAAAAAATGTAAAAATTATAGCATTTTCAAAGATGCCATATTTCCATGTCCATAAAAATGCCATAAATGTGGCATTTCTTACAAGTTGATAAAGATACACAATAATAAACACATTTTTTTTAACAAGACCCTTGAAAATTCATACCCAAATGTTTTGAATTCAAAATTTTCAACTCAAAAATAAAATTTCCATTTAGAATCGAAAAATTGTTTGAATAAATTAACATAAAATAATAATAAATGCAAGAGGAGCAGAGAATAGAGGAGGATGAGGAGGGTGGAGGGAGGCCTGAGGAGGAGGAAAAAGGATGAGAAGAGAAGGAAGAGAAAGAGAAGGAGGGGAGGATTGTCTGTGTCTATAGACACTATGGCCGGAGTAAGGCGCAAGGACTAGAATCTCCATCACTTCATGGGAGAGGAGTTTGCCAATGCGGAAAAGATGTCAATCCAGAGGAGTAAGATGCGAAAGATGGACAGATGAGTTTTATTATAGTAGGGGTAAATCGGTGACAAGAAGCTTCATTTATGAAAAATAAACATCAACTCCGATTTAGGAATTTTGATTATAATTTAGTCCTATTTAGGGTTAATATTTCTTAAAATAAAAGATAAATTAAACACAATTGTTGATTAAATTTGGCTATTTACATGCAAAAAGTACGTAGGAGTATAAATCTTTTGAGACTTGACGAGCAAATACAAAAGTTAAAAATCGAATATTGGAATTAGTATCAATAAGGTACTCCTTACCATATAGTTACATAGGGGGAGTACCATATAGTTACATAGGGGGTGTTTGGATATGATTTCTCAAAACTGATTCTACTCCTTTGGGGAGCAGACGCAGAAGTTGGAGTGTTTGGGTGAAATTCCAGAAGCATTTCTGGTGCTCTAATTTACTCCCAGAATCACTTTTTTTAGAAGCTGGTAGGTACCAGCTTCTGAAAACTGATTCCGATACTGCTTTAAAAAAGAAGCAGCAGAATCAGTTCCAAAATCTTCCCTAAAGTTTAGTTGTAAGATCCGAACCGGACCGGCCGGTTCGACCCGAAAACCAGTCACCCGGCCATATACCCGGTCCGGTTGAGCTTCAACCCGTAAATCAGGCCAAAATTGGAATTACCCGTTGACCCGCCGAAACCCGGGACGGACCCGACTCGGCCCAAACCCATAAAATGCTAAAACCAAAAAAATCAACGCCACAAGGAGTCGAACCCCGAGCCTAACGCATCAAACATGGATGTGTTGACCAACGCGCTAGGCTAGCTTGTTGGTATCAATGGTGCATCAGCTATCCTTATATCTTATTAGTCTAGAATACTTTAACTAGTCTTAATTAACTAATTAATTAATTAATAATACAAATACTACTAAATACACCCTAATGATGCAATGTGCTATTATACTTCTGGTACATAATCTCCAACTTTGTTGTATTGTATTTTATTTTGTAATTGATATTATGTTCATATTTATTACCCATCTAAATCCCAAAGTATTTCATATTTTTTTTTAAATCAATATACTTAAATACAATAGTTTTTATGCATTGCTTATATTTTATTATCATTATTAAATTATGTAGGAATATAATTTTTCTAATGATGAATTCAATCTATACAATTAATTAATTAATTATATGTATCATTGTTGACCGGTTTTAACGGTCGTTGACCGGATCGACCCACCGGGTCCGGGTTGACTTGTGACCCGATCATCTGGCCGGGTCACTCCTCGGTCCGGTTTTTACAACATAGCAGTCTAAGGATGTTTTTACTTGGACTGTAATTTGCTGGTCTGGTCTGGTCTGAACTGGTCTGGTCTGGTAATGTCTGGTATCTTTGTATTTTTATAACTATCCAAGTCTGGTCTGGTCTAGTCTGGTCTGGTCTGGTCTGATCTGGTGTGGTCTGGGATGAATTACAGATCATCCTAAATATCCATATCCATTTCGAGCCCCTGTCAAAATAATGTTAGCTTTCCAATTTTGTTCGTATGGCACGTCATTTAGTAATTAAGATAGTATAGATTTCTCGAACTTATAACCCGTAGTAGTCGGTTATTTGTGCACGGAAGAGTAGTTGGACTATAGTTCCTGACCAAACCATTAAACCAGATCATCGACCAGATCAGACTTGGATAATTATAAAATACACAGAAATCAGACGTTTATTACTAGTTCAGTTTAGATCAGACCAGACCGGACCAACAAATATATTTCCAAGTAAAAACATCCTACGCAGTACGCATCACATTACTTCTTCTTTTTGTCTTCCTACTCATATGTTCTAGCTCATTCCTTATTCTCCCCTTTTTGATGAATTTATTTTGATTTTGTTTCTTTTTGTATTTTTCTTAAGCTCTTCCGAGCCCAAAATCTTGCACATTATATCGTACATCCGGTTGTACTGTGCGCACGGTACAACTGGGCTTTTCCTTCATGACGTGCTTCTTAAAACCTCGGTTCGCTTCTTTAATCGTCATTCACACTAGGCTCGCTGCTCATCGCCACCCTCACTACTCGCAACGATCTCTTCTCCTCCAACACGAATGTAGCACCTCGTCCTTTGGCTGCGCAGAGACAGCGACTTCTAGAATTGTCATTGTTGGCCGTTGCAACGAGAAGAAGAAGACTGGAAGACAAACCAATTGAAACTACTAATGTTTATTTTTACATTTTTGCATTACTTTACTCCTTTACAAATATTCTATTTACTGGTGTTGATGGGGTTGTGGGGCAAAACAAATCATGATGGGTCGTTCAGCCCAAAGCTCAGGAGCAACATAGCCAGGCCTATTACACGAATTGGCAACCCATGACCGACCCAAGATGCCCAGTTCCTAATGGGGCCGATCGATCAGCCCATTGATTGGCAAGTAGGCCCAAATAGAAATAGTTAGATTGTGGACATACATCGTAAATACCAATAAATAAGTCTATATTCACTTATAGTAGTACATTATTTCAATACACAAAAGCTCTACCAAATTACAAGTTAAGAGGCGGTAACCCTAGCGTGGAGCGTTCGTCTGGCTCCTTATGCGTAGCGATCAAACGATGCAGAGGCGGGGTACGGGGCTATAATCACGGCCTCCACACAGGGTATGCTCGACAATCGACTGTGTGTATAGGTACGATTTTTCGTTCTGTGCTACTTCGTTGAGGTGCTTTGGTTGAGGTGGTTGCCCGGCGGTGTTGCCGAGAATTTTGTCCGACTGAGTTTCTCTGGCCGATGATTTGGTCTGTTCCAATTGTGAACTTGTTTGGGCATTTGATCGTGACTGTTGCGACATCTTCTTCTCTATCTAGGATCCGACATTCATTTTGTTGGCCATTAATGGAGAGCTTAAATCATGCTATGAAAGGATGTCAATAGAGGAGCTTGAAGGTGAGGGATTAAAAAACGACAAGGTGGCGGTGCTTCCGGAATAACATTGCCTGAAATACTGACAGGTCCCGTATACGAGATGATTCCTTTGGAGGTGACTGGTCAAACCTCTTCTCTCATCCCGGTGGCTGGTAAAATCAGGATACTTCTTTTGGAGGTGGACGGACAAACCTCTTCTCCTTCCTAGTGGTTGATAAAACCGGGATGTTTAAATTATTTTATTGCGTGCTTTTATTTTAAGAATTCTTGTTTAATTTACTCCCATTTTAGTAGCAAGTTTAGCCGTGTTGTTAGATTAGTCTACATCGTTGCGGGTTTAGCAAATACGATCGGTCCTTGGAGGTTGATCAATTTAATGTCTCATCACAATGTAGTCTTGAGCTATTGTATTGCTTTATCTCTTGTTACTTTCATGATTAATAAATAAGTTATCTTCTTTCAAAAAAAACTCTATCAAATTCTCTTTGCATTGAATTGCTTTCTTAATTTTCATACTTCAATTCATATGTGGATAGAATTTGGATCAAATGAGAATGTTGAGTGAGTTAAAACAAAAAAAATGTGCACTATAATGAATGAGAAAATAGAGTGACAATTTTGTAAATAAATTGAACACTTCATATCATTGTGAGTTGTGCATTATTTTGTAGGCATTATGTTGTAGCCTACCAAAAGATGTAGGACAGTAGGAGCGTTTTATTTTGAATAAATAGAAAGTAATTGTGAATATAGTACATAGAAATATGTGGTTAAAGTTAATTCTCTCTCCTCTACACAAATTTCAACCACACAGTTTTTACTTTATTGATCCACGTGAAAGTCAACTTTGACCAACCTTTTCGGGACGGAGGGAGTACATATAAACAGTACTGTTAAATCAACAACAGAACGGATTGACAGAGCGATCATGTGCACTTCCCCAAAGCTCCCTTGCTTCGCAGAGTTTCAGGGCTCCAATCCCCTCAACAACTAATAGTTTTACGGGGCTTTTACACTAGTACGAGTTAAACATGGAATTTTTCTCAAAATAGGACCACTTAGTTTAAACATTCTTAAATAGGACTTTTTATGTGTGATTGGACCAAAATACCCGTATTGCTACCCCTGGACTGCTGCCAACTGCCTGCCACCGGCGCCGACCACCACCAGCTGCCGCCGGAGCTCCGGCAACCACCGTCGGAAAAATTTCCAGAACTTTTTTCTGGACTTCTGCCAACAATTCTACCGCTGGCCGCCGCCGCCGGAGTTCTCCGCTGAGCTGCCGCCGCTGCCGGAGTTCGCTACCAACGGACTGCCTTGGTTGTGCAAGAGAACTAGGGGAAAATTAATTGGGTTAATTAATTGCCGGAGTTCGCCGCTGGAATCCGCCGCCGACCGGCTGCTAGTGTTGCCGCCACCACGGATTGCCTTGGTTGTGCAAGGAAACTAGGAGGGGGCAACTATTTAGATCAATTAATTAATTATATAGAATTAGGGGTAAAGTGGTAAGGTTAGTCCTATTTAGGGAAAACCAAATAGGGAAAATCTATGTTTTTGTCTTAGCCATGACAATTTTCTCTAGTCTTACTCCGTATAATTTTTTAGTAATTCCTTAAATAGGATTAAAACATTGATGAAGTGCACAAATATGATCATCATTGTTTCTTTCTAAATTAGTACTCATGGAATCCTAATTAACAAAGTTATATTCTTTTAATATGACCAAATAAATCATGTTTAGCGAATTGCAAACATAAAGTCCTATTTATGCATTTTGATTATTTTTAGTTGTATTTAAGTATTTATAGCATTTTTTGTTTATCAAAGCAACCCAACGGCTGTCTTTCTATTTAGTAGAATTTTTGTTTCTTTTTTTGCTACCACCAAACTTATTTATTAACTAATTTTTGTCCAATGATAAAAAAACTAATTTTTGTCCAAGTTATTTTCATTATTTTCATCGTACAAGATTGGAATTAGGACTACAAATCCCACTTATCATTAAACAACTATTATGAATAGTGACATTTGTGTTATATATGTAATCAATGGTGTAAAATAAAATAGGATATATTTTAAAAAGGGTTTTATAATCATCAAACACAATAAATGATTATGATTAATATGAATATTATCTCAGAAATAATATTTGTCAATTTTGCACATATAAGGTATATATGTCACATGATATTACTTTTGTCCTATAAACTATAAATTTAGTTTATATTTCTTTATTGAATTGAACAGTTTGAACATATTACTCATATTACTCGTATTATACGAGTAATATGTACAGAAATTATTCACAAAAAAGATTTACATCGCTGAGTTCGTTCCATTAAAGAAAAACAATAATACTTCCCAAATTAAGAATGAATGAAGTATACTGCAAAATCATATTACTTTAAGTAAATAGTGAATATCTTTTGCTTTTAATATCGGGACTATAAAAATGATTTAAAAGTAGTCATATTTTTATTTAAATAACAGGGGTTATTTACTCATTTTGTGATGAAACTAATGACAAATGAAACTCGCGTTAATGAAAATTGTAACTTCCGTGTATGCAAAATGTAACTTGCATAAAAAGATGTAGTTTGCGCATAAAAAGATGTAATTCGCGCATAAAAAGATGTAACTTGCTCAAATGATGTAATTTGCGCAAAGGAAGATGTGACTCGCGCAGTCGCGCATAAGAAGATGTAATTATATATACTATCAAATGTAACTCCAGGAATCAAAATAAACAAACTCAATTTCTTAAAAATTAAAAGCTTTAAAAATACATAAAAGAGAAAATTATATACTAGTATTATAGAAAAAAGTGTATGAATATAAACATTATACGTAGTATTACAAAAAGTGTACTAAATATAAAAGTATTTCAGAAATAAAAATAGTGTATGAATATGAAATGCAATATACTTATTTTATTTAGGTAATAAAGTTATTGTTATGAATTGATAAAGAATAAAAAAAATAGATTGAGTTGTGATTTAAGTTGAATATAAAGAAAAGTAAAATTGCAATTACGTTTTTAATTATACTTTGATGTAGAAGGAGAAGATAAGAAAAATAAGAGAAATAATGAATAAAAAGCCAAAAAAAATTGATACACTCCAATTTTCCAAGGAAGAAAAAGAAAGAAAGGAAATACGTATTAGTGCTTTGTTCGTGGGAACGGTACACCGTTCTCATGGCATAACGATCACACAGTATAATTTGGCGTAATTTGTGTCTTGCGTGCACATATGTCTACGTGACTACGTTCAAAGCTTCACACAATAATTTAGGGGCGTAATTTGAGAGCAAGGAAGAAGAGAGAGAGATCGGCAGTCCGCCCCCCTCCTGAACCGCCACCGTGGAGTGATCAAGAAAAGTGGCAGCAAGAAATTTGGAGTTTTTACAAGTTTTTTTTTTATTTTTTATGGTCTTATTTCCGTGCTATGTTTGATTATGTTGCTTTGTTTTTTGTTGGTGTCTTTAGGGTTAGGTATAAAATATTGTTTTTTTACTTTTTGATTGTGCCAAGTACAATATAGGATAAGTGACGAGAGTACATCATCGATCATGATTGGCTTACAGTTGCCGAAGTGGGGATTAACGAATCCTATAGCTCCTGAGTGAGTGATAGTTTCCGAGTCTGGTCTTAGGGCGTATGATCGAATAATGTTTTCTGGTCTTTCTTGTTGTCTCTTGTGTATGGTTTTGTCTTTGTTTGGTTGGATTCCATAATATTAATATAAGTCATTTTCTGTCAAAAAAAAAAGTCCAAAAAGGTGAGGATTGGATTCAGTAGTTATTAATTTTTATATATACAAAATTTATTTAATAAGCATATACTACGTAATTTGTAAGCATTTTTAAACACAGTAGCATATACGGAGTAATTTGCAAGGCATTTTTAATTAGCATATACGGAGTATGTAATTTGTAAGGCATTTTATACCATGTGACCCAATAAAGCGTGTTGACCCAACTAGGCAATAGGATTCTGCGGCCTGCTTGATATCCAAGAACAATAAGAGCTATAACGGCACAAACTATACTGATTGCTGCTATAACCCGACTCCCAATGTCTACCTGCAAGACATATATTGTCAATAAATCAAATTCTTCACCAATTTATATGTACAAAGCCCCGGGAGTACTACCTATATAATACCTGGTGAGGGACATGGATTAGTGCAATGATCCCACAAATTGCTGCGACAACATTCCCTGCTACAATAGTCCATATTGCTTTTTCTTTGATTTCCATTTTAGGGAGAAAAAAACAATGGAATTATGCGCAATTCTTTTCTTAATTAATTTGCGAGGATGGAAATGAGAGTTGGAATGTGGTGGGTAGGTAAGGTTTCATATTTATTTATAGTGGACACAGGACCGTCTTTTAGGAGGTGCGAAACATTCCGTATTTCTTAATTTAATTTGCATCACCGTTGACGCAACACAAGTACCCAACTTGATTACCTCTTTGTCACTTTAACTTTACTAGCGTAGTGTATAGCTGTCGATCAAAGACGACTTTCATAATTACTTTTTCCCCAATTGTTTATTAGGAAAGTTCCTGAAATAGGACTAAAAAAATTTGGAAATTCCAAAATAGGACCGTCATATTTTTATTCCCAAAATAGGACTATTTACTGCCAAGTTTGGAAAATACTGCCGTGTTTGAAGTCAGGTACTGCCAAAACATGGCAGTAATTAGTCCTATTTTAGGAATAAAAACATGGCAGTCCTATTTTGGAATTTTTACTTTTTAGTCCTATTTTGGGTAATATCTCTTGTTTATTCTAATGTACCGTATTTAAAAGCTTACTACACTTTCCTAATATCTAAAAGTTTACTATACATTCTATTTTTTATAAATTTTACCTTTAAAATATTCAATTATGCTTACTTTTTTTACAATTTATTTTCTCTTTCATATTTTCCCACCTTCTCTCCTACTTTTTCTACACTAATGATTATCCCTAGTCTCTTACAATTTCCTCCTTAAATATTGTGCCAAGACTTAATGTAATGATCTTTTAAAAATGAGTATAACTTTGAAGTAATAAAATATTCCCTCTGTCCCTCAAAACTTTGTCAACTTTCCTTTTTTGGGTGTCTCACACTAACTTTTCACTTTTCAATTTAAGTAAAGAAATTGTGGTTCCAGTCAATTCTCTCTCCTTTGCACAAACCTCCACCACACAGTTTTTACTTTATTAATACTTGTGTCGGTCAAACTTGGCAAAATTGTAGGGACGAAGGGAGTATTACGTAGTATGATTGTTGCAAACATATATTTCATAAAATAATGTCAAATATGGAAGGGGATCTCAACAAATGGGCCAACCAATTCTCCAACGGGCCATCATAAATCATGTGTGCCATACACATAATCTAACCAAAAGAGTGGACACATGGCCGTCTTTTAGGAGGTGCAATAAGTGTTTCGCACTGATGTCACGTTTATAGGGGGCTCCAAATATTTAGTATGTAGTATTAGTTATAGGTTGAATTTTCTATATATTGTGTATTAGTTCATATTCTAAAACGTGTATTATGTCACAACAAAGACTCAATGGTTTGACAATGATATCAAATTGAGAAAAAGTTCTTGAGAAGATAAAATATAATGATTTGATTGATGATTTTGCTTCAAAAACTGCTAGGACAACCATATTCTAAAATTCATGTGAAACTTCATCAGTGATGTAATATTAACTTTAAGATTGTTTAATTTGCGTATTTTAAACATTATAAAATTTATAATTCATTTAACTATCTAGTCTTTTTGTATTTCATTGTTAAGTTTGTGATTGTTTATTGTTTTAGAGGGCCTCAATTCGCCATTTTGAACTGAGTGACCTCCAAATTCATTAGACGGCCCTGAATGGACAAATGGAGCAGATAGATTCCAAATCTAGTATTATTCCCTTTCTTGCAATTTTATCTTCACTAGCATGTGTACCCATGCACTACACGGAAAATTATTTGTTTAAAGTTTTGTTAAAACTTTTTAGGGAAAATGAATTGTATGCGAATTCATCAATCTGAATTTAAAAGAAAACTATGTCGACTATTGATAGAGCTATCAATAGTCGAAGTCCATAGGGCTAGCTCATTTCATCCCCTTTCACGGTAGGTTAGAGCTGTCATTTTTTAACCCGATGAACTTATTGATTTCTTGGGTCAACTTGCATGGATTGCAGGTTAAGTGGGTTGACCCATGCAAGTTGCGACTTACCCAAAATATAAACATCTAATTTTTACTTTCATTTTTTTCAATATTGGTTTACTACAAAATTATTTTCGAATATACTTATCACTCCGTATTTTACAACATTTGTGAACTATTATTTGAATATTCCTATAATAATTATCAAATAAATTACTCTAGCATATATTTTATGTTATAGTTGATAATAATAAAATTATAACAATTAATAAGCAGTGGTTTCAAATATTTAATCAAAATATCTCATTGAATCTTTATTTTTTACAATGAGTGCTTTTGTGAGATACCATTCAATAGTTATGAAATTTTAGTTTAACAATGATTTAAATATTTAATAATATATTTATTAAACTTATCAATTATTGTGTGTTTAGTACACACACACACACATATATATATATATATATATATATATATATATATATATATATATATATATATATATATATTATTTGGAACTACACAAATTTAGTGAGCCAACGAAAAAGGAAATGTCGGAAAAAATTAATGAGACATGATTTAATAATTACTATATTTTGCAAAGAAATAAGAAACAATTTATAAAACCCCTGAATAATGGAGCACCTCCAAGAGCTTGTGAAAAAAAAAAAAGAAATACAGTAATGTTTTTATGTTAAGAGAGGATAAAATTTGTTAATAATTTTTTATTTTTGAGTATTTGCATTTTGTACTACCGGTGAGTGCAGAATTTTACCCAATTTTAAACAAAACATTATGACAAATATATACACATATATAAAAATAGATAATGGATCAAATATAAACTCCTAATAATTTCAAATTACTATATTTTGTATTTAAATCATGATAAAAAAAATTGCAATAAAATCGATTTTTTTCGAATGCAACACTTTGAAAGTTAATCCGCATAAAAATATGTAGCAATTTCAACATCAATTTTCAATAAAAATATCGTAAAGATGCATCGTACAAAGTTTTACACAATAAGCACAATTTGTATTGGATCCACCTCTATAAATATAAGTACATATGTGTGTGTGTGATATTGGAATACATAAGAGTATAGTTTTGGAAGTTGAATAGCTTTTTCTTTAATTTATTGTGTTGCCATGTGTCATTTTTTCATATAAAACGACAAATTAATTAGTTTTACAACCAAATATGTAAATAAGTAAATTTATAAAACTAAAATTAATGTGACATGATTTAATAAGTACTAAATTTTGCAAAGAAATAAGAAACAATTTATAAAAACCCCGAATTTATAAAACTCCCGAATAATGGAGCACCTCCAAGAGCTTATGAAAAAAAGAAATAGAGTAATGTTTTTATGTTAAGAGAGGATACAATTTGTTAATAATTTTTTAATTTTGAGTATTTGCATTTTGTACTACCGGTGAGTGCAAAATTTTACCCAATTTTATACAAAACATTATGACAAATATATACACATATATAAGTAAATAAATTAGAAAAAAATATAGATAATGGATCAAATATAAACTCCTAATAATTAACAAATTACTATATTTTGTAATAAAATCATTTTTTTTCAGATGCGGCACTTTGAAAGTCAATATGCAATAAAAGTATCGGAAAGATGCATCGTACAAAGTTTTACACAATAGGCACAATTTGTACTGGATCCACCTCTATAAATATATACTCCGTATATGTGTGTGTGTGTGGGTGGGTGGGTGGGTGGGTGGGTGGGTGTGTGTGTGTAGATTTTGGTTCAGGTGAGAAATGCATCTAATGTGAGAAATGAGAATGAATCTCAGCCATTGGATTTACGAAGTTGCACTAAAATTGGCTTTATGTTGCAGTAATATTTAAATTTTGCACTTGTTGCACTAAAACTGTTTCATGTTGCACTAATATTTGACGGCATTGCACCGAAATAGCTTCATGTTGCACTAGACACGTGTAATACGGATTTTTCAGTAGTAATTACAGAAATGCCAGCATGCTAGATTCATTCTTATTCGACTGAACCAATGGCTGAGATTCATTCTTATTTCTCACCCAAAGGGTTCTTCTCACCTGAACCTTACCCTATATATATATATATATATATATATATATATAGAATAATGATCATGTGAGAAAACCATCTTAGGAGAGAAATGAGAATAATTTATAGCCATTTGATCTTGGATTATTTTAGCACTTCATTAAGGGCAAATAAGAGAATTTGACACCATATTAAAGTTACACGGTTACTTCTCTACAATTTTGCAATTGTTTCCATAACTAACATCCTATAATCTTGCATGACAAATCATCCTGTTTACTTTTATTGATTTACGATTCTTAAGAGAGTTTATATCAAATTATTTTTCATTTGCTTAGCCAATCAAAATAAATTCTTTTATCTCATTTGATTCTTCCACACCTTCATGATTCCCAAATTCGGTGTCACAAAGAAAGACCCTACGTCCCATTTTCATTTTTTTGTAAAAAAAACTCGGTCATTTTATCACTTTATGTTTACATAAATCTTCTATTTTATTTTAAAATAATTTTCCATTTATTATTATGCTTTATATTTTATTTAAAAATTGCATCAACATAATTGTATATGTTGCACCTTTTTAGTATAATAGCTGCACTGCAACGTTTGTGTAAATTTTTAGAAAGTTTGAAACAATAATGCACCCCTCTTTATATTTTAATGCACATGTTTAAAGTGCATTTCATTTTGAGTAAAAGCATCGATGTAAGATTTTAGAAAGTGTGATATGCTAGTGCACTTTTGTATATACTTAAATGCACATGATAGCATACCCATGTATTCTTTTACACCCGTGTTTATTTATTTTTATTTTTTAAAATCATTTTGATTAGAAAGATGTATGAAAGTGCACAATGGTATGCGTAAAGTGCAGTAAATATTATAGATAGTGCAAGCCAATGTCATAAATGTGCAATTTAAAAAAGTGCAAATTAATACAATAAAAATGCTATTTGTCTTTAAATTTGGTTCATTGATAAATATTGTTGATTTTTAAAACAAGAGTTTTTCTCAAAATATTACTAAAATAAAACTCATTCACATAAATATGACTAATATTTGTGGTGCATAATAGTACAAATAAAAGTGCAATTATTCAATATTGG